GAAACGGAGAGCGGTAATCAAATGGTGCAAGAGACAGTATTGGAAGGGGATGCAAGCTTTGGGCTGTCCAAGGAAATTGGGCTACAAAGATTGAGTTTTGATGGGCCAGAAGAAAGCAGTGGGCCGACTATTTGGATGGGCAGGGAACAGATCAAGCAAACGAGCATAGAGGAGCCCATTTTAAATGCTCAAAACCAGATGGATTCACCGACAATGCAGAAATCGAAAAACTCAAAAATTGTGAGCAAAAAACAGAGGCTGCTTAGAGAATGTTATCCGGAGAGCATGTAGGAGATCTGGGCAAAAGCAGCATCGAGAGTAACACCCAGAACAAGGCAGCGACATGCACGGAGAGAAGGAAATTGTCAAGCTAGGGACGAAAAGGTATGCAACGCTGTCACTGTTTCAATCTCAGATGGTTGTATTGAAAATAGAAATAGGGTGATGCAGAGGGAGTTGAATATGCATGAGGTGCGCCGAATGATGGGGGTGGGGAAGAGGTTGGGTTTCAAATTGGATAATTATGAGGAGGAGATTCAATCAAAATTATTGGAGGTAGTAGATCGGGAAAGGGCAGGGAGGAGGGATGCGTCGGGGATGTAAGGGCGTTTGTGCCGAACGGAGGTTGTGCAACCAGTATTAATTTATGAAATTAATATCTTTTAATGTAAGGGGCTTGGGTGGGTCGCTAAAAAAGAAGGAAGTGAGGAGGCTGGTTACAGACGAGAAGCCTGATTTCATGTTCTTGCAGGAACAAAGTTAGAAAAGGTGGATGTTGGTATTTGCAGCCAGTTGTGGAATTCAGATGAGTTTGATTGGGTTGCGAAGGGCTCTTCTAGAGCTTCGGGGGGTTTACTATGTATATGGGACAGGCGGTATTTTGTTAAGAGGGAAGAATTCACTAGAGATGGGTTCGTGGGAATATCAGGGGAATGGGGAGCAAATAAACAGCAGTATTTTTTAATAAACGTGTATGGTCCAAAGGAGAGACAGAAGAAAGCTAATTTGTGGGAGGAGCTGAGGAGAATGGTGACAGACAAGGAGGGATGTTGGTTAATAGCAGGGGATTTTAATGCAGTGAGAGGCCCTGAGGAGAGAAGAGGAAGAATAGGGGAGAGCCCGGACATGAAGGATTTTGATGAGTTTATTGTGACAACTGATTTGGTGGATGTCAAACTGACGAATAGAAGGTTTACATGGTACAAGCCAGATGGTACAGCAAGGAGTAGATTGGACAGATTTTTATTGAGCACTGAGATGAGCAATATGGAAGGGGAGTGGATACAGCAAGCATTGTCAAGGACTATCTCTGATCAATGCGCTATTGTGTTGAAGTCCAGAACAACAGATTGGGGACAAAGACCTTTCCGGGTTTTGGACGCATGGCAACAACATCCAGATTTTAAGAAGCTTGTAGAAGATAAATGGAGTGAGATGGAGGTGGAGGGCTTTGCTGGGTATAAATGCCAGCAAAAGTTGAAATTGCTCAAAGGATTTTTAAAAGGTTGGAACAAGGAAGTCATTGGGAACATGGAAGCTCAATATGAGCAAGCAGTAAAAAAGATTGAGCAGGTTGATATGCAGAATGAGATAGCTGATCTGGAAGATGCTGAGATTGTGAAGAGACAAGAAGGTTTTTCTGAGATGTGGGATGTTTTGAGAAAGAAGGAACTTATCTGGAAGCAGAAATCAAGAAGTAAATGGGTGCGTGAGGGAGATGCAAATACCCGTTTTTTTCATAGAGTCGCAAAAGGAAGAAGGGCACATAATAATATTGCGGGCTTAATGTGTGAAGGGGCATGGATTGAAGATCCAGATTTAGTCAAAAATGAGGTTTGCAGATATTTTAAAAGCCTGTTTCAAGGAGAGTCATGGAATAGACCCAAGCCTGGGAATATTAGATTCCAGCAGATCTCTGAGGAGAAGAAGGATTGGCTAGAAAGACCTTTTTCAGCTGAAGAAATTGAGGAAGGATTAAGGAGCTGTGATGGTTCAAAGGCACCGGGACCTGACGGGTACAATTTCAACTTCCTTAAATTTGCGTGGCACTGCATAAAGGAGGACTTCATCAACTTTTTTTCTGAATTCCATCGTAATGGAAAATTGGTGAGGGGACTAAATTCTTCTTTTATAGCCTTGATTCCTAAAAAGTTGAATGCTGGGGGACTAAAGGATTATAGACCCATTAGCTTGTTAGGATGTGTCTATAAATTATTAGCGAAGGTGCTGGCAAATAGATTGAAATCTGTGGTAGCAGAAATAGTGAGTGAAACGCAATCTGCCTTTGTGGGGGGCCGTCAGTTGGTGGATAGTGTCTTGGTGCTGAATGAAGTTGTGGATGAAATAAAGAGGAAGAAACAGCCAGCTTTTGTTTTCAAAGTAGATTTTGAAAAGGCATACGATTGCGTAGATTGGTCCTTTTTGGATTGGATGATGGAGAGTCTTGGCTTTGGAACAAAGTGGAGAGGCTGGATTAGGGAATGTCTTTCAACGGCGAGAATCTCGGTCCTGGTAAACGGAAGCCCGAAAAAGGAATTTGAGATGGGTAAAGGTTTGAGACAAGGTGATCCTCTATCTCCTTTTCTCTTTTTGATGATTGCAGAGGGGTTACAAGGTCTGGTACAGAGAGCAGTAAAGGAGGAAATGTTGCACGGGATTTAGATTGGAAAGAAAGGTTTGTCAGTGTCATTGCTCCAGTTCGCGGATGATACAATTATAATGGGCAGAGCGGATGCTGAGAATATACGTATGGTGAAGGACATCCTAATATGGTTTGAGCTTATGTCGGGATTGAGGATTAACTTTAGCAAGAGCAGTGTTTTCGGTTACAATGTGTCGGAAAAATGGCTTAAAGGTGCAGCGAGTATGTTACATTGTAGGGTTGGTAGAGCACCCTTTCTTTATCTGGGATTGCCTGTTGATGGCAAATTTGGGAGCAAGAAATTATGGGAGCTGGTTGTAAATAAATTCCGTGCCAAACTCGC